AGTGTGGGGTGTGCAGGAGGCAGCCAATCAAAGATTCTCTCTCATCAGTGATGTTTTTATCTCTTCCTCCCCCTTCCTCTCTGAGATCAATAAAAATATTTTTTTTAAGACAAGTACAGACCCAGAGATAAGGAGCCATGGGTCAAACTGTTAGACCTCAAAGGGAAGGTGGGGATAAAAGGGAGAGATCAATCAAAGGACTTATGTGCACACATGTGAGCCTAACCAGTGGTTGAGGACAATAGGAGGGTAGGGGCATGAGGGGGGGGAGGGGATAGAAATGGGGGAGTTGAGGACAAATACGTGATACCTTAATAAAGAAATTTTTTTAAAAAAAGTAGTGACATATTAATACCTTTTATGAGTCAAATAATGATAGGAATAAATTATTTTATTTATACAAAAAGTACTAGATGGTATACATGGGATACAACAGTGAACAAGATCCAGACAGGGATTCTGTGCGGTGGGCAGAGAGACAAAGGAACGGGGTGATGCGTGCCATAAGGATGAGCATAGAGACACCTCATCCAGGCTTGAAGGCTCAGGAGGCACTTCCTAAAGGTAGCATCTGAGCTGAGACCTAAAGGACAAGAAGGAATCATAGCCCAGAGGTAAAGCCACAGTAACAATAGCCATCACACACACCGTGCCCGTCCTGCAGCAGGTACTCCCGCAGTGCTGTACACACATGCAACGTGGTGGCCACATGCAGTCCTCACCGCAGCATTCTGAGGAGGTGGTCTTCTACCCCGTCTTGCACATGAGGAACTGGGACGTGGAGTCGTTAGGCCGACGCGGCCAAGCACACACACTTGTGATTGATAGACATTGTATAGGAATCGGGCAGTCTGGCTCCCGAGTCCTTGTTTTTACCAGTGTCTCTCCAGTACAAGGTGAGCATGTTGCAGGCAGAGAGAGGGCACCTGTGCAAAGGGCCTGGGGCACCGAGAGCAGGGTCGGGCAGAAGACGTGGACGTGGTGTGCGTCTGCCATCTCCTCCGCTCGCGTAGAGCTCCTCTGTGATGTGATTCTGCTTGCTTTCGCATGCCTGGAATTAGTGACCCCAGACATGGACGCAAACATGGCACAGAGCCGAGGTCCCCCAAAGATTTTCCCACCCACCACGCAGGAGTTATGAGCAAAGCAAACTGTAACCTAACCCCTTTCCGATGACTAGACTTAACAAAACTTGGTGTTGAGATTGAGACAAGACTCCCCCCATCAGTGTAACATCCCATTTCCACCCAATATCTGTTCCACCATTCCTCTACCCTCATCCTCCGTGACTGAAAGCTGTTTGTCCGTCTTTAACGTTTCCAGCAGTGCCTGGTCCCATTGCGATATCCGTGATTTCCATGTGGCAGATCCCGTGGGGACAGTCAGCAGGAATAGCCCCCAGCCTGGTTTTCTAAGCCAGATGACAGGAAGTCCTTTCCCCTCTCTCGTTCCCTCTGCCTTCCGCTGGGTCAGGCAGGCTGGCTCATTTTCCAGGTCAGCGAGCTGTCAGGTCCCTGCTCTCCCCCTGGTGCACAGGAACAAAGAGCATTTCCCTGTGCATGTAGGGAGATGTATTTTAACATGTATGTGCTAGGAAAAAATCTAGCCTATAGGTCAACATACTAACACCTTTTGTTTCTATGGATCTGACTAGAGATGATTAAAACATGCTTTGGTTTGTGTTTTGTGATTTGCATATCTATATTTCTTAATTTTATAATTATTTCTTAACTTTTTTAAAAATATATATTTTATTAATTTTTTACAGAGAGGAAGGGAGAGGGACAGAAAGTTAGAAACATCGATGAGCTGAAACCAGCTTGGCTCAATGGATAGAGCGTCGGCTTGGGGACTGAAAGGTCTCGGGTTCGATTCCGGTCAAGGGCATGTACCTTGGTTGCGGGCACATCCCCAGTAGGGAGAGAGGCAGCTGATCAATGACTCTCTCTCATCGATGTTTCTAACTCTCTTATCTCCCTTCCTCTCTGTACAAAATCAATAAAATATATTTTTTTTAAAAAAAGAAAGAAACATTGATGAGAGAGAAACATCAACCAGCTGCCTCTTGCACACCCCCCACCAGGGATGTACCCGCAGCCAAAGTACATGCCCTTGACCAGAATTGAACCAGGAACCCTTCAGTCCGCAGACCGATGCTCTATCCACTGAGCCAAACCGGTTCTGGCTTAACATTTTATAAAAAAGAAATTGTGTTCTCAGAGGTCGTCCTGCCTGGGGCAGGCATCAGCGCTCGCCTCTGGCTGCTTAGGGGATGAGCCCTCTGTGACCTTAGTGGGTTCCAGGCCGTTTCCCGTGCTTGTTTGGACGTTTAGCCCAGACAGCCTGTGCAGTGTGGCTGTGCACGTGAAGGATCCCTGAGACATTCCTCTTGCGTTTCTCTCTAGATCAAACTTGGATCCCTTCAGCCAGTACACGGAAGACCAGATCTGGGACGCCCTGGAGAGGACGCACATGAAGGAATGTGTAAGTAGAGAACCACGGGCGAGCGATGCTGTGGGCACTGCCCGGCGGCCTCGGTCCAGCCTGTTCTGTCCTCCACCTCCAGGGTATCCGTGGAGGAACCCTCCGAGCAGGACTTCCCAGACATTCCAGAAAGGGCATACAGGTTGATATTTCTGGCCTCCACCTCCTCCCTCTACCCCCACGCCCGTGAGCATATTACCCTTTTTACTACCCATTGACTGAAGACATGTCAACGACAACTACTCAGAATTCAGTCGTGCTTTTACATTAACTTCTATTTTATTCATCATAACGATATAACAGGCTTCCTATGGGCAAGAGAGATCTCACTTATTGAGTCTGCAGAAAGCATGCAGTCAGCCGTGGATTCACAGATCTCCACGGGTGCTTGGCAGGCCTCTCCAGGGGCCACAGTCTACAGATGGATAACCCTCACCTGGGGGAGGGTGTCCGTGCCTCTGCTTAATCACTCAGGATCCCTTGTCCTAACTCAACTAGATCAGCTCTGCTTTTATCTCTTTTAGGTTGAGCTTTCTCTTTTTTATTTTTTTTATTTTTTTATTTTTTTGAAGCTTTTTTTAAAATATTTTTTTATTGATTTTTTACAGAGAGGAAGAGAGAGGGATAGAGAATTAGAAACATCGATGAGAGAGAATCATCAATCAGCTGCCTCTTGCACACCCCCTACTGGGGATGTGCCCGCAACCAAGGTACATGCCCTTGACCGGAATCGAACCTGGGACCTCTCAGTCCGCAGGCAAATGCTCTGTCCACTGAGCCAAACCAGTTTCGGCAGGTTGAGCTTTCTCAAATAATTTTATTTGAAGACTAGGTTGCATAGCTTACAAAAAGAAAAGTTTGACAGCCATGGGCCTACAGCTTTAGACTTAAGAAAGACAGCAGTTTTATTTTCCCTTTTTCCTATTGCACGACCATCTTTTTCAGTGGCTCAAAAATTAAAATCACTATCTGCCAGGACTTGGGGACATGAAAGTATTGGAATTTCTGGGACGTTTTGAGAGTAGGAGACTAACAGAATGGTATATTTGAGTCCTGGTCACGTGGCCATCACACCTGTTCCTTCTTTCTAGGTGAGCCGGGTTCTCAGCTAGTATTCCTCCTTCTGTTCCAGAATAATTTACCTTTGCTACTGGATTTTTGACAAAAGTTAGGGTGTTTTTCCCCCCTCACTTTAATTTTTGACCCTTCTCATTTCTGCTTTCTTTCTTCCTAGATTGCTCAGCTACCTCTGAAACTTGAATCTGAAGTGCTAGAGAATGGAGAGAACTTCTCAGTGGGGGAACGCCAGCTCTTATGCATAGCAAGAGCCTTGCTCCGTCACTGCAAGGTGCGGCGCTGTGGGGGGAGCTGGGGAAAGGGAGGGGAGGGCGGGAGAGAACCGGGAGGTGGAGGAGCACCCTTCCCTGTGGCACGCGGTCTGAAGGCGTTCCAGGCTCCCAGCCCAGTGGCACTTTTAAGAGAATGCCCAGAGGTGTTTCTGGATTAACCTTGACATAATTTTGGTATATGGGTGGGCTATTGTTGTGGGTTTATATATGTGTGTGTGTGTGTGTGTGTGTGTGTGTGTGTGTGAATATATATATATATATATATATATATATATATACACACACACACACATATATATATATATGTTTTATATATATATATATATATGTTTTTATTGATTTCAGAGAAGAGAGGGAGAAATAGAAACATCAGTGATGAGAGAGAATCATAAATAATCCTACCTAATAAAAGAGTAATATGCAAATTGACCATCACTCCAACACAAGATGGCCACCACAAGATGGCCTGCAGGGGAGGGCAGTTAGGGGTGACCAGGTTGGCAGGGGAGGGCAGTTAGGGGTGACCAGGCTGGCAGGGGAGGGCAGTTAGGGGCAATCGGACCCACAAGGGAGCAGTTAGGCATGGATCAGGCTAGCCCACGAGTGGTTAGGGGGTGATCAGGCTGGCAAGCAGAAGCCGTTAGGGGCAATCAGGCAGGCAGGCTGGTGAGCAGTTGGAAGCCAGCAGTCCTGGATTGTGAGAGGGATGTCTGACTGCCTGTTTAGGCCCAATCCCGCCATGAAGCTTTAAGGAGGTAAGGAGGCCGCCTCCCTCTCACTCACACACCCCGCCCCCGCCTGGGCCTCCTCTCTCTCTGGTTCCATTTTCTCCACTGCTGGGGCCAGTCTCCTGTGGGAGGCCCAGCCAGTACGTCAGGTCTCCCTTCAGAGAGGCGGGGGGTGGGGGTGGGGAGAGACGGTGAACCCTCGGGGGAGACGGAGGGGGGGGGGGGGTGACGGACAAGGATCAAGGCAGAGGGAGCAGTGGCCCTGGTGAGTTTGGGGGAAAGAAACCAGGTGGGGGAGGGAGCCTCAGGGCCCGCGCCCCGCCCCCCCCCAACTATGGACGAGCAGCTGCTGGGGTTGCCCCCTCCAGGCAGGAGCTGGGGGGCCTGGGGATGGTGGGTTAAGAGCCTGGGGGCCCTGGTGAGCCTCCCAGCGGGGGTGGGAAGGGCCCAAGAGGCTGAGGAAAGCAACACATCAGGGACATTCTGCCGCAGATAATGACCATCATGGACCAGAGCCTGGACGAAGCCCAGGCCAAGAAACACGCCCTAAACTGCCACCGAATGCAGCCCGCTCTCTTTAACGTCCTCTGTGAGATCAAGGAGAAGACCGGCCTCAGCATCCGAAGCTCCCAAGAGAAGGAGCCGATGGACCCCCAGCTTATGTGCTTGGACAACGCGTTCTGGCAGAAGGCGTGGCTGAGCCTGAGAAAGGGAGTGGGGGGGGCTTGGTGGCAGCCACTGCAGCTGCAGCAGCTTCCAGGAGCGGTGTGTCCCCTGACTACTCCATCGAACACTCAGACCATCAAACAAACTGGCCCAGATCCACCATGTCTCCCACTCGGAGCTGGAGAAGTATGAGCAGGCATCTGACGAGTTCACGACCCACGTCATGAACCTGCTGAGGGAGCAGAGACACACGAGGCCCGTGGCACCCAAGGAGATGGAGCGGATGGTGCGCATCACACACCGTAAGTCCAGCGCCATCCAGACGTCGCTCAAGCAGAGCACCCGCCAGGCCATTGTGATCCCGCGCTCCCGCTTCCTGGATGCCGGACGGAAACGCCGGAACATCAGCAAACAGGCCACCGAGGTCCTAAACGAGCATTTCTGTTCCCACCTGAGTAACCGGTATCCCCGTGAGGAGGCTAAGGAGGAGCTCCTCGCCGAGAAGTGTGGGATCACCGTCTCTCAGGTCTCCAGCTGGTTTGGCAACAACAGGATTCACTGTAAGAAAAATACCGGAAAGTTTAAAGAGGAAGCAGACATCTGTGCCATCAAGACCGCCGTGTCTGTCACCCTGGGCCACAGCCGCACCAGCTCCCCGACACCCCTTCCTCCGCAGGCTCTGGGGCCCTTTCAGTCTTTCGGGATCCGGAGACCTGTTTCTGGGGGTGCTCGGGCTCAACGGAGGTTCCTACCCTGCTTCCCAGGCGGAATCACTCCGACACTCGATGGGCCCAGGGAGCTACGGAGATAACCTCGGGGGCGGCCAGATGTACAGCCCTCAGGAAATGAGGGCAAACGGCGGCGGCCGGCAGGAGGCTGTGACCCCGTCCTCAGTGACGTCCCCAACAGAAGGACCAGGGAGCGTTCTGACCAGAGACAGACTTACTGATCCAAGTGATCTCACCCCTCAGGGCCACAGGGTGGGGGCTCACGAGGTGGCTCTTGCCAAGAGGACAAAGGCATCCAGAGGACAAGCCCCAGACACAGGAGAAGCACAGATGGAGAAGGGCAAATGGGGTTGCTCTACCCCAGCCGGCTCAGTGGTAGCTACTACATGGCAAGGAGAAAGGGGTCCCCTAAGGGGAAGGGGGGGTCTGTCTCCCTTTTTTCCCTTCTTTTCAATCGTTTGCTCTCCCCATTTCTTACACAGAAACTCACACAGAACCCTATCTTTCATATCCTCTCTCATAGACACATTAACAACTATTCTGTTTCTCTCTCATAGATATATACACAACTATTGTTTCTCTATAGACATATATACACTCTCTCTCACATATACAACTATTCTCTCTCTTTCTCTCTCTCTCTCTCTCTCTCTCTCTCTCTCTCTCTCTCTCTCTCTCTCTCTTGTTTCACCCATTCTCTCTCCCCCACCCCTTATCTGCTCTGGGATCTGTGGAGACGCCAGCCTTGCCCTATCTACCAGAGATGCCAAAAATGGGGACACAATGTCTGGATAAATGGCCTGGCCACACCTCTGGGCCTCCCGCCCCTCCCCTCCACGTGGCTTTATTACCTCATATGCAGCTCATCCTAAACCAATAGAATTGCTCGGTGGAAAAAAAAAAAAAGAAAAAAAAAGGAAGGGAAGGAGGGAGGAAAGAACTTTATAAAGAAGTCAGTAGAGAGCAGAGTTAAAGAAGGAAAGAGGATGTGTGAGTGAATTGTAGGAGCTATAATGAAAATCAAGTATTCTTGTGCACTGGGGACAGATTTTAAAAGTAGGAGTCAGAAAAAAAAATGATAAGTGATAGTGAATAATTAGGCAGGAAGATAGATATTAAAATTGTAGAAGTAAGTAGAAAAGAATGTATGGGAAAGGTAGGATGACAGAAAAAGAGGGAGGAAAGTAAGGAGGAAAGAAAAGTTTATAAATGATGAGTCAGTAGGAGAAAGTGTTACATAAAAGAGAGCGAAAAATTGTGTGAGAGGGAGAAGCCAATAAGGAAGTCAAATACAATTGTATATGAAGGGGATAAGATTGAAAAATAAAGTTAATAGGGCGGCAGGCTAGCAGGAGAGGGCAGTGAGGGGGATCAGGCAGGCAGGCAGGTGAGTGGTGAGGAGCCAGAGATCCTGGATGGAGAGGGTGCAGGTTGGGCTGAGGGACACACACACCCTCGATGCATTAATTTTGTGCACTCAGCCTCTAGTATATGGTATAAAATTCAAATGCTAAAATACATTTTAGTAAAATCTAATTAACCAGAATGCTTAAGGAACTGTTTGGATCCTCTTTCTCCTCTCTTTCCTGGCAGATTCTGATTCTAGATGAAGCCACAGCTGCCATGGACTCAGAGACAGACCAACTGATCCAAGAGACCGTTCGAGAAGCGTTTGCCGACTGCACTATGCTGACGATTGCCCATCGCCTGCATACAGTCCTGGGCTCTGATAGGATTATGGTGCTGGCCCAGGGACAGGTACTGAGGCTGTGGCCTTGTCTGGGAGGACTGAGCTGACTGGCATCTGAGGGCGGTTCTGAACATTTAGAAAAGCAGCCATAGCAGCTCTGGTCCTGTCCATTTGGAGAGAGACACAGCCCCCTCCACAAGGCACTGCATGTGAGGCTTTCCTGGGTTATTGTTTTGCCTTACTACCTCTTATTTTGTTACTTGAAAATAGGGCACACTGGCTTAGGTCAGTGAGCAAGTTTAGTTAGTAATTAATTCACATTCTATATAATAAAGAGGTACTATGCAAATTGACCATCGTCCCAACACACAAGATGCCACCCTCATGTGGACACAAGATGGCCAGCAGGGGAGGGCAGTTGTGGGTGATCAGGCCAGCAGGGGAGGGCAGTTGTGGGTGATCAGGCCAGCAGGGGAGGGCAGTTGGGAGGGACCAAGCAGGGGAGGACAGTTAGGGGCAAACAGGCCGGCAGGGGAAGGCAGTTAGGGGCTACGGGGCCATCAGGGAAACAGTTAGGCATCGGTCAGGATGAGGGGAGCAGTTAGGCATCGATCAGGCTGGCATGGTTATGGGGCAATCAGGAAGGCAGACAAGCGAGCGGTTGGGAGCCAGCAGTCCTGGATTGTGAGAGAGATGCTCCAGATTAGAGAGGGTGCAGGCTGGGTTGAGGGACAAACCCTTCCCCACTTTCCCATCCCTGTACACGAATTTCATGTTCCAGACCTCTAGTAAATAAGAATTGCCCAAGGCATATTGAGGCCTGCCATCATGTGTGTTTGCTTTTTGCAATCACGTAGGGGTGCCAAACTTGTATCCTGCTGTTTCAAGCTTCCCCACAATCTGGTCCAGTCATGCCTTCCTTCATTTCCCTCTTTTTCCTTGCAAGTGCTGTCAGCTATAGACCATCTTGCATCCCCTAAGCTTTTCCATCTTCTGTGTCTACTCATACAGTCTACCTAAAGTGTCCTTTCCCCTGCTTTCCTTTCCCATATCTACTTGCTTATAACCGGCCTGTCTCTCAAAGCCAGTGTCTCCCTGTCCACAGATAGTGCTGTGTCTGCTCTAGCACCAGCATCACACCCTCAGGCAGCCAGTCCAAAGGAAGGATGCTTTGTCCTTAGGCCTGTCTCCCCTGGGCAGGACACCCTCTCCTAGAAGCGCCCCCGGAGGCCTCCCCTTTCATCTCCTGGCAAAGGTGTGTCCACACCTTTGCCCTGCAAAAGGGAGGCTGGGAAGTATGTGGCATAGTCAGCCACACCATGGGAGGCAGGCAGGTCCTGCCAGCACGTCATTCACTTTTCTACTGCAATATGGTTTCCAGAGACTGCATAGAAGTCCATCATAGGAATGGATAATTGACTGAGTCTATCCTTTACTCACTTTTTCTTTTTACTTTTTATTGATTGATTTCAGAGAAGAAGGGAGAGGGAGAGAGATAGAAACATCAATGATGAGAGAGAATCATTGATCGGCTGCCTCTTGCGTACCCCCTACTGGGGATCAAGCCTGCAACCTGGCATGTGTTCTTGACTGGAATTGAACCCAGGACCCTTTAGTCACAGGCTGATGCTCTATCCACTGAGCCAAACTGGCTAGGGCTCTTCTTTAAAAAAAAAAAAAAAAAAATTAAAAAAAAATTTAAATATAAACACACACACACACACACACACACATATATATTTATTTATTTATTTATTTATCTGTGCCCTGACTGAAGAGATCAAATCCACAACCTTGTTGTATCAGGACGACACTCTAACCAGTGGAGCTACCCGGCCAGGGCTCTCACTTCCCTTTTTATTTCTTTGCCAAGTAGGTCTCCTGAACCGTTTCTTTTCCATCTATAGGTTTAGATGAGCTTGCATAACTAGATGCCATTGCCTGTTAAGCCTTTGACTTATGCTGCAGTGGGTTCCCTGTAATTTTTTTTTTTAATAAATCTTTATTGTTCATATTATTACAAATGTTCCTCATTCCCCTCCCCCCCTCCATTGCTCCCCTCCACCAGGTTCCCACCCCACCCTCTGCCCTTTCCCCACCCCCCATTGTCCTCATCCATAGGTGCACAGTTTATGTTCAGTCTCTTCCCACACCCCCCTCTCCCCTTTTCCCCGAGAATCGTCAGTCCACTCCCCTTACATACCTCTGATTCTATTATATTCACCAGTTAATATTGTTCATCAGATTTTTTTTTTAATTCCCTTAGTTTTTAGATTCACTTGTTGATAGTTAGGTATTTGTTGTTCATAGTTTTTATTTTTATTTACTTTCTCTTCCGAAAGAACCCCCTTCAACAATTCATATAATTCTGGTTTGGCAGTGATGAACTCCTTTAGCTTTTTTTTATTAGTGAAGCTCTTTATCTGGCCTTCGATTCTGAGTGATAGCTTTGCTGGGTAGATTATTTTTTGGCTGTAGGTTCTTGCTATTCATCACCTTGAATATTTCTTGCCATTCCCGTCTGGCCTGCATGATTTCTGTTGAGAAATCAGCTGACAATCGTATGGATGCTCCTTTATAGGTAACTACCTGCTTTGCTCTTGCTGCTTTTAATATTCTCTCTTTGTCTTTTGCTCTTGGAATTTTAATTATGATGTGTCTTGGTGTGGTCCTCTTTGGATTCCTTTTGTTTGGAGTTCTGTGCACTTCCTGGACTTGTAAGTCTAATTCTTTCACCAGGTGGGGGAAGTTTTCTGTCACTATTTCTTTCAGTATGTTTTCGATATCTTGCTCTCTCTCATCTTCTGGGACCCCTATAATTCTGATGTTGGTTCGCTTGAAGTTGTCCCAGAAGTTTCTTACATTATCTTCAACTTTCTGGATTCTCTTGTCTTCTTGCTTCTGCAGAGGAGTGTCTTCTGGCTCTTTATGTTCCAAATCTTTGACTTGATTCTTGCAATCTTCCATTCTGTTTTTAGGACTCTGTATAATATTTTTTATTTCAGACAATGTATTCTTTATTTCTTGTTGATCCCTTATTAGTTCTTGTTGATCCCTTTTCATTTCCTCATAGGTCTTATCGACCTTTTCTAGGAAATTCTTGAAAAACTTTATAAGCATGGTTTTGAACTCTATATCCAGACTCTTCTTTTCCTCCATTTCTTTTGTTTGTGATCTATTTCCTTGTCTTGGCATTTTCACGGCTTCCCTGAGTTGGTAGGGTGGCTTTGTGTGCTAAGGTGTCCTATATGGTTTAGTGAGTCAGCCTCCCAGTTACCTGAGGTGGACAGTCTTGGTGTAGCCCTTTGTGGGATGTGTGTGCAGTCTTGTTAAGCCTTGCTTGTTGTTGGTATCACTGGGAAGCATTGATCTCCAAGCCAGTTGGCTATGAGGATCAGAAGTGTCTCAGCTAGGAGGGTTTCTGTATTCCGCTTGGATGGCGCAGAGTCTCGGGGTGGCACAGACAAGCTTTGTTGAATCCCGCACAATTGGTTGCAGGCACACGCACCTCTTTGATATAGGCGCAGACAAGCTTTAGATTCCTGTCTGCCCCTCCCTAGGAGAGTCCTATTGGCAGCAAACGAGGAAGCTAGCCACTGGAAGGGCCTCTGTGGTCTGCTTGGATGGGGCGTAGTCTCATGTGGTGCAGACAAGTTTTATTCAGCCCCTCCCTGCGAGAGTCTGGTTTCTGAGTCCCGCAGTAATGGCTGCTGGCTTCACACACCTCCAAGCGATCCCCGCCCACTGCCCGACAGTCTTGCCTCTCCCTGATTGGGTCTATCAGTGCAATAGGGTGGTTCTGTTTTCCTCCCGAACCAGAAAGCCAGCCATGCATCAGCTGTCTGCCCTCTCCGCGCAGGGAGTAAGCCAGTAGCAAACTCGGCCCACCCTCTCCACGCTCCGCAAGCAAGCCGGCAGCGAACTCTGAGGCCACTTTTTCCACGCGCACAGTTCTCTGTACCTTCACAGTTCCTGAGGTTCAGCGCGCCTTCTCTCTCCTTCCCAGATGGTAGAGCCTCCCCTTAGCCAGCCGTCTGGCGCTTCAGGGTGATGTTTCCCCTGTTTTTCAGTTCTAAATTCAAATTTGTTGTGGTAGGCTGCATTCGGGTGTCTGCCCTATGCCGCCATCTTGGTTCTTCCTCCCTGTAATATCTTGTCGATCGATTCCTGCCTATCTAAGGCTGAATGAATTAGGTAAAGGA